GGTGTCGTAGGGCAACGGGAAGGAGGAGGCTGTAGCCAAGTGGGGAAAGGATTGGCAGGAGAGGGGAACAGTACTCACACACAGTGCCAAGAGAGCGCACCTTGCAAGTTTCTGTTCTCTCGCCTCAGCGTCTCCAGCTGCTCCAGCACCTCCTCATAGGCGTTCCTCATCTTGAAGATTTCAGTGCTCAGTGCCCTGGATTCCTTCTGTGCAGCTTCCAGTTCAGCTTGGCTTTCATCCAGCTTTTGCTTCCACTCTGCAAGGACCTGGGAGGGGACAAAGGGACATGTGAGAAGCAGAAAGCGCTGGGGGGCTCGGAAGGGAATACTCAAGCAAGGGTTTTCAGTAGCACCATGATTTCACCCTTCCATCCTGTTGTGGTTTCTTTTCTTTTGTTGCTGAGACAAAATACTTAACGCCCAGAATTAAGGAAGTAAAGGTTTATTTAGCTCAGTCTGTGGAGGTTTCAATCTATAATCAGCTGGCTCCAAGGCAAAGTGGCAGGGCACAGGGGCAACACTTTAAGCCAGCACAAGAATCAAAGTAGCAAGAGCAAAAAGTGGGGAGGAGCAAGCCTCTTTTCCTCCCTTATATTGTAAGCAGGCTACCCCCACCCAGGGAGTGTGTACCACTCACACAATTTCCATGCCTTCCTCCTGCACAGGCTCAGGATGAACGCAAAGTAAGAACCCTGGACCCCTGCTGAGTCACTTAGTTAACCTTCTAAACTTCTCAAATTGACACAATGAACAACATCCTAGAGCAAGGACATGTCCTTTTCACCCCAGCGTGTACACCTGCTGAGTCACTTAGTTAAGCCTCTAGACTCCTCAAGCTGACACAATGTATCAACTATAACACATCCTTAGGGACCAAAGCAAGAGGACGGTTCCTATTCCCACCTGTGGGCTCCAGGCTCCAATATCCCTACAGGTGCCCTGCTGGGTCACCCCCCAACCCCACTACTCTCTCCTCTCCCAAATACTGGAGATTGAACCTTGAGCCTTTACACTGAGCTCCATCCCCAGCCTGTTTTCTTCAATTTGGAGACAGGGTCTCACTAAGTTGTTAAATTGCCCAGGCTGGGCTCAAATTCATGATCCATCTGCCTCAGCCTCACAGAGTTCTAGGATTATAGGCAGGTTGACTGTCACTTGCCTGATCCAAAAAACTTTGGAGCAGAAGTGTTTCATTTGGAATATTTGTGTAACATTAGCTATCTTGGTGAAAGAACCTAAGTCTAAACATGACATTCACTGTCTTTCATATTCACCCTCTATGCATAATACAGCTAATTTTAGGTGATATTTCTAGTGTGCCTGTATTTTGCCTGCCACTTGTCACAGGAGGTCAGGTGTGGAATTTTCCACTTTCAGCATCATGGTGCTCAAATATTTCAAACTTTGGTTTTTTGTATTAGGGATGCACAACCTGTACTACTGCATCACTGTAATTCAAATTTTCTCTGATTACAGATAAAATTAAAGTAACAAAAATACAGTCACAAAAGTAAAAGGGGATCCCTAAACATCCAAGTGTCGATGTGCTAGCTGGGGCCTCCTGAGATGCATGCACATCTCACATATCTGAGTGTGCAAGGCCGCACTCTGGTCATCACTGCTGTGAGGCAGTGGGGAAAGACCTTGTCGAAGTTCCTCTGCTTCTTGTCCAGGGTGGTGCAGGCGGTGTTGGCCCGCTCCAAGTCCAGCATCAGATCATCCACCTCGCCCTGGAGCCTCTGCTTGGTTTTCTCCAAAGAAGTGCACTTGGAGTTGGCTGTCTCTGTGTTTTCCTCTGCTTCCTGGAGCCTCTGGGCCAGTTTCTTCCTAGGAGAACCAGACGTTTTTGGTCTAGGCAAAAGTGGGATGTTTCAGATTGAAAAAGAACAGTCTGGAAGGGATTGAGCAAGACACAGCATCTAAGAGGAGAGGATCCAGGAAACAATTCTACACCACACAATGAATGGTGCACAGAAGGCTGCTTATATCATGGCAGCCCCATAAGACTCTAATGGAGCTGAAAAATTCCCACCACTTGCCGAGGTTGTGGCCATTGTAACATCACAGTGCAATAACTCACATGTGTGGGTGAGGCTCGTACAAACAAACCTACTCCTTACCAGCCATAGGAAGGTATAACAGATACAGTTATGTACTCTGCATACTTGACAAGGATAATAAACAATTGTTTCTAAACTATTCTTTTTCTTTCTTTTCTTTTCTTTTCTTTTCTTTTCTTTTCTTTTCTTTTCTTTCTTTCTTTCTTTCTTTCTTTCTTTCTTTCTTTCTTTCTTTCTTCTTTCTTTTTTTTTTTTTTTTTTTTTGGCAGAACCAGCTCAGTCTTTACTTTGGAAAGGACAGTTGAATTGGTTTTTGCTGTGTGGCAAGGGGAAGAAGGTGTACCCCAGGCAGTAGTTTTTCCCCAAGAGGAGGCTGAGGCCCAGCGCTGAGCCTCAGGTCTCTTGTTCCCAGTGTTCCCGCACACAGATGTCTCCCTACAGGCTCTGGGGCAGCTGTGGGAGGGGTGAGGGTGAGGAAAGCCTACTGTGGCCCATTCCCTTGGGCAGGACATCACAGGTCTCAGACACCAACTTCCTGTTGCCAGTCTTGATCTTCTTCACAACCATGGCAGACTTGATGCGGGTGAAGCCAGGGCCTTGGAGGCTCCCAAAGCTGGGGTTAGGAGGGCCCCATGGGGTAAGCTCACCACTCCTGCATAGCCACTCATGCTTTTCCTGTGGACACTCATGTTCTGCATCCCAGCCTCCAGCCTGTTCTCACACTTCAGCAGCTTGCAGTAGGTGGCGATCTCGATGTCCACTGCCAGCTTGATGTTTGTGAGCTCCTGGTACATGTGCAACTGCCGCACTGTCTTGCTTGGCTTTCTGCAGGTTCGTCCCCAGCTGGGTCAGCTTGGCTTTGGAGTCCTTAATGGCCAGCTCCCCCTGCTGCTCAGCATCGCCACCCCTTCTGGAGGCAGCTGATGCTGCAGTTCATCTCAGTGATCTCAGCCTTCATGAAGCGGAGGTCATCCCTATCCTTCCCAGCCAGGGCCTGCTCCTCCTCATACGTACCTGTTACATGCACTCAGCCTTAGCCCGGCTGTGCCTGGCATCTTCTCGTGCTGGGCCTTGACCTCAAAGATGATACCATCCAGGTCCAGGGAGCGGCTGTTGTCCATGGATAGCACCACGGATGTGTCTGAGACCTGAGACTGCAGCTCACGGATCTCTTCTTCACACAGCTGCCTCGGGGAGTTGATCTAGTCAGTCAGCCCTTCCAGGTAAGACTCAAGCTCTGCCTTGTTTATGTAAGCTTCCTTTGCCTCCTTCTTGATGAGGACAAATTCATTCTCCACCTCCGTATGCTTGCTCATCCCATCCTTGTACTTACTCTTGAAGTCCTGCAGCAGCCCCTGAATGTTGCCAAGCTCCACTTTCAGTTCCAACCTCTCCTGGCCCAGTGTGCCTGCTGGTGCTGGATGGTGGTTATGTAGCTTTTGAACATGTGGTCCATGTTACTCTGGGATGTCTTCTGCTTCTGCAGGAGGCGCCACTTGGTCTCCAGCACCTTGTTCTGCTGTGCCAGGAACTACAGCTTGTTCATGAAGGAGATGAACTTGTTGAGATTCTTGATCTGCTCCTTCTCCTTCATGTGCACGGCCTTGATGTGGTTCAGGGGCTTCAGCAGGCTCTTGTTCACCTGGATGGCTGTGATGGTCCCTACACCACCTTCCCACCATGGCTGCCAGACACAGGCTGTCCCGGAATCTGCTGCTGCTGCCCATTTGGGAGATGCTGGAGAAGCTGAAGTGGGCCTGCTGGTATAGTAGAGGCTGCTGAAGGTGTGGGGGCTGGAGGTGGACATCTTGCAGGACTTCTGCATCACCCTCATGGACATGGTGGAGGTTGGGGTGAAGGGAGGCTGGAGATGGAGATTTGAGGAGAGAGGAAGCTAATTCTGGACAATGGGCCATTTTTTTTTTTTTCTTTTTTCATGGAATTCAGGGCCTCATGCCTACTAGACAAGAGTTCTACCACTGGGCTATACCCATAGACCTATACTACATGTTTTATTATTTTAGAGTGTATTCCTACTAAAAAACACTTAAAGCAGTATGCCACATGATGACAGCAGCCTCTCATATCCTGTGTTTAATGTCTCAGGAAGCCACCTGGAGTGAGGGACCTCATCCTCGTAGGTCTGTGTGAGTGCCCTGAAGAAAGTTTGTATGATAATGGCATTGCCTAAGGAATGGCATTGCTTAAGTGACCATATCACCTGAATAATCCCAAAATGCAGCAAAGCAGGTACCCAGTAGCCATCCTGGCACGTGGTTGAACAGACAGTTCCCTAGGGGAAGGACAGGGAGACTCCAGGAGGGGAGGACCACTCTCTGAATGCTTAAGAAACTAGGAAGGCAGGAAGGCAGGAAGGAAGAGTTCCTGCAGGTAGGGAGTTACTTCTGCTTCCTAGCTTGCATCCTGGTCGCTTCTCCTATTGTAACCTTAGTGCACGTACTTGGCCTCCTCCAGCTCCTCTGTGCGCTGGATGGCGTCCGTCTCGTACTTGGTCCTCCACTGGGCAACCTCACTGTTGGCCTTGGAGAGCGCCCTCTGCAGCTCGGCCTTGGCTTCCTGTTCCTCCTCATACTGCTCCCGCAGCAGGTCACAGTCATGGCGGGAGGACTGCAGCGCGTGCGCCAGGGCATTCTTGGCCTGTGGAGATTCAGTGGTGGCAAGTTGCAAAAGCATTTGACACTTTTCCAACGTATTCTCACTTAAATAGTTTTCTTCTGGCTTGAATTGGTCCCATGCTGCTTTCATGAATTTTGCTACCTTTCGAATCACCTGTTTAATTTTTTTTTAGGTTTACTCCACAGCTATATTTAAATATATTTTTAAAAATAAATCACTATACTACAGCAAATAGAAAAGGATTAACATTTGCTATAAACAGAAGGTAACCATAAAAATAAATGCAATGGAAATAAACCACTGTCATCACCATCTACCTAGCCCTGCTGCCTGCTGTGGCTTTGTGCCTGGAGCCTACCTTCTATTCTAAGTAAGGTAAGCGAGCAAATGGTAGAGAGCTGTTGTCCAAATTGAGACCTTTTCCTAGATGTAATCAAAAGTACTAAAGCAATTAAAAAGGGAATAATTTCCTCACTACTTGATGCAGTGTTGCAGAATGCTGTGATGTGAGAAACCTGCGAGCGTTTCTCAATGTCACCAGCCAGCTGTGCGGACACCGGGGACTGACTGCCGATGGAGCTATGCTGATTCCGTGCCTCATCTCTTCTCCCCAAGGAGGGGAGAAGATGCCCCGAGGCTTCCCGTCAGGGCAGGGTCTAAACTTAGCTTTAGTTATAATCCTTGTTAGTCACCCTCTCACTCTATTATCAAAGAAGAGTTCTGTTGTCCTAGTGCAGTCATTTGTACATTTTCATCCTCTGAGAAAATACAAATAAACGACTAAACTTTGCCTAGGAAGGAAAACTGCTGCTGCGTCCAGGCCACAGGAGAGCCTTGCTCCTATGGGGACTTGTTCAGGCTCTGGTTCTCACCACTGCCCCCATCCCATAGTGCACCGAAACCCCTTGCTGGAGAAGAGAAAGCTGGGAGATAAATATATCAATTGTTCCTTTGCAGAATGATGGAGCTTGGGAGAATTCTCTCAAATTGCCCTGTAAATCTTCGCCAGCACACAACTGGTAACCTAGGAACTACATCCGTGCTATTTTCTGCACTCCTGGTTTCCTATACTAATTCTTGAACAGACAGCAGGAAGATTTGCTGAGCACCTACTGTGTGCACTTTTCTAATGGGACCGTACTGACTGTGCACTACGACAGCGGGGGAAACGCTTCCTGCCCTCAGGAGTCTGCAGGTCAGTGGGAAGACAGTATCACAGACACTAATATCTAAGGACAGTGGGATCAAGAACATGACAATGTTTATGTAAATGTTTCAAAGCTGTCCTGAGCCATGTATCCTTTGGGAAGAAAGGTACTTAAGGGCAGGTGTCAGGGGAGGTGACCCACCAAGCCTAATGAAGAAGAAAGAGGAAGGCATTCTGAGAGGCTGGGGTGAAAGGCTTGTGCAGAGATAGTCAGACTAGTTGAGCCATGGGGAGCAGATGTTCTTGGCTGAGAGGGGGGTTTATCAGACCTCCGCCTGGGAACAGAGGTGCCCAGGAAATGGAGCACTACAGCAGAGTTTTCTCGTTCTGAGAAAGGAGATCCAAAGCCAAGGACCTCTGGTCTTAAGGAGCAGCTTCCTACTTCATGAGGAGGCACAGGGAGGATGCATTAAGCCTCTTGATGTGGCACTGCCTCCCACCAGTCTGGGTGAAGTGATTGCAGGTTCTGGCTCATGCAGACATCCCATAAAGGTGTCCTTACCTTCGTTTCTTCCTCCAGTTGCCTCTTAAGCTCCTCCAGCTGCTGGGTGAGGGCCTGCTTGCCTTTGGTTAGCTGTGAAATCAGAGACTCCTTCTCTTCCATTTGGTGGCTCAGCTCCCCTGCCAAAAACACAGGAAGCCCGCACGTCGGCGTTGACCTGCGCCCTCCGCCACGGCCCAGCCGCCCCCGGAGCAGCGCCCGTCCTCACCATTTTGGGTCTGCAGTCTCGCCTTCTGCATATTCAGATCGTGGATTAACTGGGTCTGCTGGTCGTCCTTGGCTTTGATCTCATTAAATTGGTCTTCCACAGACCGGCACAGTCTTTCCACGTTACTCTTTCAAAAAAAAAAAAAAAAAAAGGTCAATATGAGTGGAGGAAACCGGTTCCTGCTGCCCAGTATTGAACTGCACAGTTTGATAGTTTGGCTTCTTGTTAGGTAAAATAAAACACAAAAACGTAAAAGCTGCTTTAAAATGATGATCATTTCAGATTTGCCTCTTTTTTATTTGGATTATTGCTCAGTCATCAACAGTTTGGAACATCAGCCTTGGGGTGGGGGTTAGCATTCAGTAATTTATAAACATCGGCTGGGAAGATGCCTCTTCAAGGAGCCCTACTGGAGTGTAAGCATTTCTGTTGCCAGGCGGATAATATTGACAACACTGAACATTTCATTCACTAACAGGAATGGTTTCCCGTGAGGAGGTGATGTGGAGGGATTCACCGTCCCAGGCTTTAGCTGGCCTGTCTTTTAGTGAGATTTATTTAAAGCACTGTGTATGTTGTGAGCAGAAGGCGCAGGGACATTAGATCCAAACGGGGTCCTCAAGGAGCTCGAGATGTGCTCAAGAAATGACCACATGTGAAAGAATTCCAGTGTGGGAAGTCAAAAGAGGGACAGTACTCACAAGGAGAGAAATCAAAGGATACAATAGCAATGAAATATAAAGCAATAGGAAGTGCTCCTTCCAATGGATTTTAAAATTGAGAATAGAGAGCAGAAAGCTATTCTGCAGGCAGGGAAGCTACAAAGAGGGCTGGTTATAGACAGTATGTGGGTAACGCTGGAGCTTCTTCTAACGCAGCCAACCCTATAACCAGGCTTGGCTTGGGGCGGGGAGAGGGAGAGAGAGAGAAACAGACACAAAGAGAGACAGAGAGGGACAGAGGCAGAAAGAGACACAGAGAGAGACGGACACAGAGAGAGACAGAGATAGAGAGAGAGAGACAGAAACAGAGACAGAGAGAGAGAGCGACAAAGACAGAGAGAGAGAATGTGAGCCAGTAGGGGCAGTCAGGGAGCGCTGGGGTTTGGATGTGCTCCTGCGCAGGAAGTCCGATCCCCAGTGTATTGGTACAGGGAAGTTGTAGATGCTTCAAGATCTGGATCCACCTGCTCACATGCATAATTTCACCCTGACTCTGCCTCTTAGTTTCCAGTACCATGGAGTAAGGAGGCCTGTGTACAGAAAATCATACCATGAAGACCCTTTGGTACAATCCATCCGTACATTTAGGTCTAAACCATGTCAGATGGACTGGAAGCTTGCTGTAAGATTTGGGATGGACGATGCGAATTTGAGTGGTGGCACAGCGCTCTTACCAAGCTTCAGTGATGCTGGGTCTGAATGGCTCCTCCCACCCCAGTTCATATGTTCAAACTTAATCCCCAGGGCAGTGCTGTTGGGAGGTGTGGCCTTTGGGAGGTGACTAGGTCACAGGACTCCTAGAAGAGACTGGTGTCCTCATCAAAGAGGGTCCGAGCGAGCTCCCCTGTGCCTTCCGCCCTGTGAGAACTCCGCGTGAAGGTGCCATCCATGCAGCACAGTGTGAGCCTCGCCAGACGCTGAATCTGCTGGCACAGGGATCTGGACCAGCCCGGGTCTCAGAACGGTGAGCAATGAATGTCTGTTGCTTATAAATCACTCAGTGCATTAGTGACAACAGCCCCATGAGGTAAATGACACATGATTTGCATGAAAATGAGCACAGGGTTTTGGTTTAGGACAGCAATGGCGAACAGCGATGACCAAGGGTCCAAACTGCAACCACAAACCCACTTCTTTATCACAAAGCGCCAACACTGCAACGAAACCCGAATGCTTTTCTGCTGGGGCAATGTTCAGGCGACTTGGCTCACAGAGAGAGGGCTCTGCATGCCTGCTGCGGCCTGTGCCATAGGTTTACCTCCACTGGTGTAGCACACACAGTGGGTTTCTCACGGGACAGGAGGACACGGGGGCCTCATGTGCGCCAAGACCAGAGGGTCACCAGATACCTTCGACTTTGAGACTGTCTCAATATTGCTGGCCATGTCATCGATCTCCATTTTCAGCTCGCTCTTCTCCTTCTCCAGCTTCTGCTTGACCCGCTGCAGGTTGTCAAGCTGCTCCCCGAGCTCGGCCACACTGTCCGCGTGCTTCTTCCTCAGGGTGGCCGCAGTGGCCTCGTGCTGCAGGGTCGCTTCCTCCAGGTCCCTGCGCAGCTTCTGAAACTCCGCCTCCCGCTTCTTGTTCATCTCAATCTGGGCGGAAGTGGCCCCGCTGGCTTCTTCTAGTCGTTCACTGATCTCCTCCAGTTCCCGGGTCAGGTCTGAACGCTGCTTCTCAATCTTGGCTCTGAGTGCGTGCTCAGCTTCGATTTCCTCCTCCAGCTCTTCTGTGCGAGCCTGAAAGAGTGATCAGGAATGTTGTCTGTATCAGGAATCAGGAATGTTGTATCAGGAATGTTGTCTGGGGCAGGAGCAGCCCACTTTGGGAGGGGCTGAGCGCTGAGGAATGGAGGGCCACCGCCCAGAGTGAGGAATACATCATAACAGTGAGAAAAACAAACACACTCTGGAATAAGCTAAGTGTCCATGAATAGGGGACTGGCCAGCTCCATTGTGATGCAGACTGGCTGTAGAAGTCTATGAAGCCTTTAGGTGCTGATCCACGCCTACGACAGATAATGTGTCCAATGTGTTGGTAAATGAAAGAAGTAAGTTGCAAAACTATATTCTTAGTGTGAAAATATTTATGCTAAACATACAAAGAAACAAGAAATATATATTCTAAATATTTCTTGTGGCTCTAAATGTGTACATGGATATATAGGAAAAGATACAGAGGACACAAACTGAAGCTGACTGTTCCTTCTGAGAGGACTGGGAGCATCTGGACTTAGGGAAAGTGGTCAACGCACCTTTATCAATAATCTTTAGCCTTATTGGTAATAGTTTGATTCTTTTTAAGCAACTATGCTCATACGTTATTTAGAAAATTAAGATATTAACAAAACATGGTGATGCATGCTTGTAATCCCAGCTACTGGGAAGACTGAGGCAGGAGGGCAAATTCAGCAAGGACTTGTCTCAAAATAAAATATTAAAAAGGGCTGGGGTGTAGCTTAGCATTCTGTGGGTTCTATCTCCAGTGAAAGAAAGAAAAAAAAAAAGAAAAAGAAAAAAGTTGGCTATGGTGACATGCATCTACTTAGGAGGCTGAGGCAGAAGCATTGCTTGAGCCTAGGAGTTTGAGATCAGCCTGGGCAACATAGTAAGGTCCTATCTCAAAAAAAAATGTTGGGGGCGGACAGGTCATTCTTTCCAGCTCCAGCAGGAGGAAGAGAAGAAGCAGCCCGAGAAACAAAGGGGAAAGAGCAGGCATGAGCACTCGCACAGGGGTTTGTATGACTGGGGCGTTCTGACACTTTCACCTGCAATTCTTTTATCTTCTTTTGCAACTGCAAACTGTGAACTTGTTCGTCTTCGATTTTGGTTTGTAACTGACTGATTTCAAACTCCTTCCTGCAAATAGATTTTCAAGAAGATAAAAGTACACGAAATACAAGTCTCTTAAGGGCAAGGGGTGGAAGTTGGCTGCTCAGGCTCAGAGAGAGATAGAAAATGGTATACACTAACTTCTTCAATTTTTCTTCCATCTGTTGCTTGTCATTTTCTAGGTCCAAGATGGACTCCTGGGACATTTTCAGGTCTCCCTCCAGTTTCCTTTTCACTCTCTCCAGGTCTGTGCGTAGTTTTCTCTCCTGTTCCAAGCTGCCTTCAAGCTGGGAAGACATGGGCAGAAGAAGAAAGGCTGGGACCGAATGGGAAACAGAACTCCCCCTTCTGCCAAGGCAGCTGCACACCTGTCTGGGCTTCTGGGATCTGGTCCAGGGCTTGCCAGAAGCTTCTAGGCCAGGGAAGATAAGAGTCTTCCCTGCCTCCCCTTCTTGTGTCCTCTAGCCAAAGGACCCCAGGAGGCTGGGTTCTCTGGGGGCCTCCAAGCTCCCCTTTCTATGTTGTTCAGCTGATTCCCATGCGGGCTGTCCTAAGCATATTCCTATAAAAATGTGACGCCCACGGGTGCATGGTCTTGTTCAGAACAGGAACAAGTCTGTGAGCTACACCCTGCAGTCCAGGCACACATCAGAGCCCACGCTGTGCAGCTGTGGGGAGACTGAGGCGAGGGATCCACGTGCTTCTGTGTGCACGCGTGGGCCCAGGGAAAGGAGGGTGCGGGGAAGAGGCACGCTGACTCCGGCGTCAGAAAAATTAAAGAGACTTATGAAGGAAAGTTCTAGCCATGACTGTGAGTAAAGCCAGAAAACTTCCAGTCTGGCTCGAACATCAAGAACAGTGCAATTCTCTGATAGGGGAAAATAGTAATTTTCATAGCCACAAATACATTTTTCTTTCTGGCAGTTCTGGGGATAGAGGCCAGTGCCTTGCACAGGCTAGACAAGCGCTCTGCCACTAAGCCACACTCCCAGCTGGGACTGATCCTTCCTAACGTTACAACAGGACTGGGGGCTTTGGAAGCCAAAGGATCGATGCAAATAATAATGAAGATAAACATCTTAGCGGCTAATGTTTTCCTAAAAGCATTGTATGTGTGAGCCTTTGTTAGAAACTCTTCAAGGCAGAGCTGTTTGTAACCCATGTGACAGGATGGAAACTGAGGTTTCACAGGGTTAGCTGTTCTGTTCATCCTGCCAGGTTTGCTTGAGGGGAGGACAAGACTGAGATCTGAACTCAGGGCCCGGATTCCAGGACCTGAACTCTGCAGCCTCGAGGCCTGTCCACCTCTCCCTCGCCTGCCCCTCCAGTAAT